AGGAATAACAATTACTGTCGTACCAAGCACGGTCACAGGACCTGTGGCCGGAACTTCGTCCGGGCCCGGCGGTGTCGTGGTAACGATTGTCGCCTCGACCGTGACTGGCCCAATTGCAGGCACGGCGACTGGCCCCGGTGGAGTAGTTGTTACTGTGGTGCCTGTTACAGTTACAGGACCTGTTGCGGGCACGGCGACCGGCACAGACGGAGGAGTGACAGTTACTGTCGTCCCGACTATAGTTACTGGTCCAGTAGCTGGAACCTCCTCCGGCCCCGGCGGAGTAGTTGTTACTGTGGTGCCTGCTACAGTTACAGGACCTGTTGCGGGTACGGCGACCGGCACAGACGGAGGAGTTACAGTTACCGTGGTGCCGACCACGGTCACAGGACCAGTGGCCGGAACTTCTTCAGGAAGTGCTGGCGTCGTCGTGACCGTGGTGCCTTCTACGGTTACGGGACCTGTTGCGGGCACGGCGACCGGCACAGACGGAGGAGTTACAGTTACCGTGGTGCCGACCACGGTTACAGGACCAGTGGCTGGCACTTCTTCAGGAAGTGCTGGCGTCGTCGTTACCGTGGTGGCTTCGACTGTCACGGGCACTGCTGCTGGCACATCCACTGGCACAGGCGGCGTCGTTGTTACCGTTACGCCCTCTTGCGCTGCCAACGCACCAGCCTACTATGTCGTTAACGGTAATCTGATTCGGGAAGACTTTGTCTTCGACGTTTTGCAATTGAATGTTGTGACTGGAGCCGTACCGGTGCCTATAGGACCCGTTGGCAGTGCCGGCACACTTAATGGGCTTGGATACAACCCATTTGATGGTTTCCTCTATGCCGTCGCCAATGCCTTCCCTCAGACGGTCATCCAAATCGATCCGGCCACTGGCGCCAGTACAAATTTCCTGCCTCTTGCTGGAACCATTGCAACCGCCGGCTTGACTGCCAACGCTATTGCCGGTGTGATTGACGAGCAGGGACAGTACTGGCTGCTTGACCAAACCAATACCCTATGGACAAAGATTGATCTGGTTCCCAGCTCTGCCACATTTGGCAGAGTCGTGGATGCTGGCACTTCAGCAGCTCCACCCGGTGGCCATCTTGTCCAAGATTGGGCATGGGTTCCAGGCACCAATGGTGGCAACAACCTGTATGGTGTTGCGTCAGGTACTGGACTTCAAATAACGTTCTCGTTCATCATGCAGTGGAACAGAGCCACCCACACGTGGGTACTATTAGGCCAAGTTGCGGTGTCCTTGCCATTGGCTCAGTATCAGTCAGTTCTCTCCAGTCAAAACAATGCCTTTATTGCTTCAGACAGCAACACTGGTACTCAGTACACCTTTTCGCTGCCTGGCACTGGCCAGAATATCGTGGCTATGCCTGTGTTGACAGTGCTGGCCGGTGGCCCTGGAACAGTCGCCGACGGTGCCAGATGTGTCAGTGCAAATTAAGGGAAAAGGAGTCTTTATTTCCCCTTTTATTCTTCAAGAGCTTTTATATATTCATTTTTCATGTCATGACAACAAATGTTAGTCTATTCTAGTCCTCTATCTTAATAAATAATACGTATATTCGATTCGAATACATGACCCTCATTGCAGTACAAATCAGTCGCTTTTGGAAACTTGTTCCCGTGATTTGCATTATTTCTTTTGGAGATTCTGTCTTTTACTTTATCTTCAAGGATGAGTATTGTTATTTTGAGCAAAAAGCATGATGGATACGCAGAGTCTTTGTCTAAGAAGCAGAGATGGAGGATGATTCGTTGTCTTCTTCATTGGATAACACCACTTTCGCATCGCATGTTATGGTACCACAGGAAAGAAATGGACTATGCCATAATATACCCTATGCTTGAGTAATGATTTCAAGATGGGGAGCTTAGAGTGGCCCCCGACTACGGAATGGTTTCATTTACAGCTACCCAAGTGCTGAATAGGCAGTAGCCATATATTTTCCGAGCCTAGAAATGACAGGTTGGTTTCAAACTGGAAAGTAGCGGCGGTCTTGTCACCGCTATTTCTGTTGCTGTTGCTGCTGCTGCTATCAAGTATTGTTGTTATTGTTGGCGGTCGGGGGCAGTATTGCGGCCAGCATCAATTGCTTCACGAAGCCGTTGCCAATTATAATCATTGCACGTTTAATATACTCAATAGACATGATAACAGCCAAAGTCACTGCCAGTGTATGACGTGCTTGTAAACTTTTGATTGTTCTTTGCCTTTATTGTGACTTTTCAATACCATAAAATGAGATGGAATAGTTGCAGAGCAATGCCCACCCTGATAACACATATCGGGAGTGCTGTCCGATGTGCCGACAAAAGATCGCGCTGCTACCAACTAGTTTTGTCTCCTTCGTTAATGCTTCTCCTGCTCCTGTCGTCGGCAACCAACATCTGCCCTCGGCGGACGGCACGCCTCTGCACCTACAGACCTCTCCTTCTGGTGTTTAGTCTCCATGGCAGTCACCGCTGCATACTGTCGGCACTGCATCCCCGCTGTTTGGAAGTCCTTCTCTGGTTTCGCTTCTCAACCCTGGCACAGCTCTCTTTCTGGCGCTCGATTATCATCATTCCACCGATTTTAAGTCGCATACGCAATAACGTGTCCTATAAAAAGCCCGGACTTTTTTTTCTTTTTTTTTTTAAAAAAAAAAGAAATAATTAAAGGAAAAAGAAAAAGCTCAAGATTCTTTCCTAATTTTCCATCTCAAAATGTAAATATAATATAATCGCCTTATTATCGTCGAGGGCCTCCAAACAGATTATATATTTCGAATAGCCGGGCACAGGAAGACGCCGACGGCCAAAAGCATTAATCACTCGTTTCATGCGAGTGTTCAAACGACTATGGAGAAAGTCGCCTCGCGGAGAAAGTCGGCTCTTTCCTTGGAAGAGATCCTATATCGTAAAAACAAAACATCTCTCATTCAGACTCTACACCAGACGGAGAGGCTTGTGGGTGCGGAGGTTGGTTGTCGACAACAGGAGCAGGCGAATGGTTAACGACAGAGGCCCGACACACTGGACAGCATTCTCGATTTGCCGCACGACTGTAAATATTGCTTTGCAACCACTCCAGGATATAGGTGTTATGCTATTCGAAGTGGCTATAGGGCAGCACGATCGCCTTATTATCGGCGAGGTCCTTTCGATAGATCGTACATTCCGGGGAGCCGGGCACAGAAAGACGCTAATAGCCAAAAGCATTAATTACTCGTCTTATGCGAGTGTTTATTCGACCATAAAAAAAATCGGATCTCTCCTGGGCTATGCCATTGACCCAAAACCGTCGCAAATCCTTAACAGAAACCTCTGCAGCCTGGTAGGCGGCTCGCACCTCTGGACGGACACTTTCAAGTCGCTCAGGCTCATCCAGCGTGTTCACATAACCTTCAAGCAGAAAGTGGAAGTCCATATCGTCGAGCATGATACCGGGACGACTGTAATCGGCGCCTGGGACATCTGACTCGTCTGAGCCAGAATAGTAATCGTCGTCATCGTCTACTGCTTGCGACAGACTTAGACGACGAAAGGCTAGTTGATCGCCTCGATGCAGGAAACCAAAGGCAGTCTAGACAAAATAGATCTTTAATAGTTGTTAGCTATTATAATAGAGGAAGCGTGATCCTAGAATAATACTTGTAATTTAGACACGGAAAAAAAAGAAAAAAAAAGAGAAAGAAAGAGAAGAGAAAGAAAAAAAGAGAAAGAGAAAAGAAAGAAAAAAAGGAGAAAGAGAAAAAAAAAAGAAAGAGAAGAAAAAAAGAAAATAAAAGCTAAAAATAAAGGAAAAAAGAATTGAAAAAGGGTTGCTAAGCTTAATTTCACTCTTTAATCTTTTCAGGTCTTTTTTTTTTAATTATAAAACAAATTAAAATATAAATATTATTAAAAAGGATGCGCTGTTATAATTTATGGAAAGTGGGAAAGAAAAATTATTTCAAAATAAATAAATTATAGCGAAATTAAAAGGATTTATCGGGAATACGGAAAGCTGTAGCATTTAATGAATATGGTGTGGAGGGAATACACGTGCAAGGAAAACATCCCGATCGCATTAAAAGCTGCACATTAGAAAGGAGGGAAAGTGGTCATCTCATGTCATCCGTAGGTTAACTTGTGATGGAGGATGCACTGATCGCTGGTTATTGGAAATTGGCCTTTATAGCGAACCCACGGATATCACCCTTTCCTCGAGCATTAATACACCCCTTGCTCTTCCTTTTTAAAGTTTATTCCTGTTCCAAAGGTAGTTCCTCATTTTATCCTAGTGAACTTTTGCTCTGGACGGGAAAATTTCTGCAAAAACAGAGATCCTGCTAGGTCACAATAAAGGCAAAGAATAATCGAAAGGCTGGAAGCAGATCATACACTGCTAGTAACTTCGGCTATTGGCACATCGGACATCACTCTCGATATGTGATATCAGGGCGGACATTGCTCTAGATGTCTGCAACCACTTTATCTAATTTAGTGGTATTGCATAAAGATACGTAGTATGTCCATGTGGGAAGTGGTTGAATTCTTCCATGTTGGTTGCTGTATGCAGGAACTCAATACATGAGTACTAAGTAAGCAGTAAATTTCATATATGGTATTGCGGTAAACCACATAATAGCTTGGCGCCTGCATCATACCATAGCTTGAAAAGATATGTTTACTTTTCCTTGCAATTAGTTTCATTTGCTTTTTTTTCTTCTTAAATTCGTTTCTTTTTCTCATCGGTAGCCGTTTGAGAAGGATAACTTTAGTTGTACTATGAACCCCCCAATGATATTACGTCACCTGCTCCAACGACTCATATGACTGGCCATGCTCAAGCTAGTTTCCCATGTGCATTCACAATCAAATTGACTTGAACTTGGCCATTACGGAAACCATTCGGGTATTGTTGTATCCGAAAGATCTGCTCCAAAAAGATAATTCTGCAAAAGATCACTTTCAAGGCCTTTGGATTGCTTACCTAGTTACTACCCCGGAAAGACACCATCATGGCCGAGCTTCCTCCCCACATCCGCGTGACCCAGGCGACGAGCATTGCGCTTCTGACCACGGCATCGGGTCTCAACCTAGGCCTTTCTTTCTTTGTTGCGCCACGACTCCTCGAGTTGCCGACTCCCATTATGCTTCAGCAATGGGCCAAGATGTTCAAGACTACGGCCAAGGCCCTGCCGCCCGCCTTTGCCCTCCCCGCGCTGCTCAACGTCTATCTGGCGTACAAGCTGCCGGGGAGGACATCGCGAGCCTATGCTCTGGCTGCCGTGTTGGCCGCGAGCGTGTATCCGTACACGTACGCCGTGATCCGACCCATTGCACAAAAGCTGCTCAACAAGGAAGAGCAGGTCAAGGCTCTTGGGCCGGCGGTGGGCGACGTGCTGACCTTGGGGGAGGAGATGGGTATCATGGAGGACAATGGCCACGCACTCATTGACAAGTGGGCGTTTTATAATTTGTATCGTGGAGGCGCTGCTTTTGTTGCCGGTTGTGTTGGTTTGTATGCTGCTCTATCGTGAGCATATTTGAGAGGGGATGCTTGGGTTTCAATGTCAAGAGAGATTAGACAAATGAACATCTAGTGTGGCGATGTTTTAATACATGATGAGTTGCATCAAGAGTCCGAGATACATCAAATGAGCAAATATCTCCCTAAATGTCTATTAAATACCTACTTAATCAATACTGTCTCTCCCGCTGTCTAAATGACTGACCACGGAACATGAGTCTAGTAGCGACAAGTGTTGTATGTAAAAAAGGCAGCGGCCCCACTCTTGCACGCGGCGGGCGGTGCGAGCTACGCACTAGTGCCGTGCGGGACCCCTGCTTCGCCCTGGCCCCTGCGACAAGGACGCGTGGAGTGTCCCGTTGGACAGCTCAAATTGCCAAGAAGCGGATTAGCTGTCCTCTCGATTGTCGTCGCACCTGGGTAGAGTTTAGGGAAACCACCAAAAAAAGTATCCAGGTTTCATGCTCACCAAACCTCCTTTCACCAACACAGACCCGTGAAGACAGACTACATCCAGCGCGACAATGGCGGTCGCAACGGAGTCACCTTCACCTATTCAGGCCCTTGCTGGTCTGGGCCAGAACAAGAACACAAAGACCTTGCTCAGGGTCCTCATCCTCGGCTTCATCGCAGCTGCCGCTGTAGCTAGCCGTCTCTTCTCAGTCATTCGTAAGTCGCCCTGCCATCGAGTCCTGCATGTCTGGCCATCGCCGGCGTCGATGAAAACTCCTTTGCATCACCTGGAGCTTCAGGACAGCTTCAATTGATCCATTACCGCAAAGAACAAGTCGCTAACCCAGACGTCATTAGGTTTCGAGAGTATCATTCACGAATGTATGTCCCACAGCTTCCGACAAGCTTCACCTTCCTCTCCACGAGCCGGTCCACGAATTGCTAACATGACCCAGTCGATCCCTGGTTCAACTTTCGAGCTACAAAGTATCTGGTTGCCAATGGTTTCTACAACTTCTGGGACTGGTTCGATGACCGAACTTGGCACCCCCTTGGTCGAGTTACCGGTGGTACTCTGTACCCCGGTCTCATGGTCACCAGCGGTGTCTTTTACCACCTCCTCCGATTCCTCTCTGTCCCCGTCGATATTCGCAACATCTGTGTCCTTCTGGCACCCGCCTGCTCCGGCTTGACGGCCTATGCCGCTTACCTTCTCACCAATGAGATGACAACCTCGCCTTCCGCCGGCCTCCTCGCCGCCGCCTTCATGGGCATTGCCCCCGGTTACATTTCTCGATCCGTCGCCGGTTCATACGACAACGAGGCCATTGCCATCTTCCTTTTGGTCTTTACCTTTTACCTGTGGATCAAGGCTCTGAAGCTGGGCTCCGTCTTGTGGGCTTCGCTGTGCGCCCTCTTCTACGGCTACATGGTGTCCTCGTGGGGTGGATACGCCTTCATCACCTGTCTGATACCTCTCCACGTTTTTGCCTTGCTCTTGATGGGCAGATACAGCAGCAGACTCTACGTCTCCTACACCACCTGGTACGCTCTTGGTACAATTGCCAGCATGCAGATTCCGTTTGTCGGTTTCGCGCCTGTCCGTACCAGTGAGCACATGCCGGCCTTGGGTACGTTGCTCCAACATGATTACTGCAATGCGCATTTTACTGACAGGATACAGGTGTCTTTGGATTCCTCCAGATTGTAGCTTTCCTGCTATACGTCAAATCTGCAGTGCCTAGCGAGCAGTTCTCGGGGTTCCTCAAGGTGGCAATCGGCGCAATGTTTGTTGTCGGTGTCCTCGGTATCGTTGGACTGACCTCGGCTGGCTACATTGCCCCTTGGTCTGGTCGATTCTACTCCCTCTGGGATACCAGCTATGCCAAGATTCACATTCCCATTATTGCATCCGTGTCCGAGCACCAGCCTACCGCCTGGCCTGCCTTCTTCTTCGACTTGAACATGCTCATCTGGCTGTTCCCTGCCGGAGTTTACCTTTGCTTCCAGAAGCTCGAGGACCAGCACGTCTTTATCGTGGTGTACGCCGCGTTCGGAAGTTACTTTGCTGGAGTCATGGTGCGACTGATGCTTACGCTCACTCCCGTTGTTTGTGTCGCCGCAGCCATGGCCGTTTCTCAGCTGCTCGACACGTACCTAGTTGCCGACTCTCCCGCTCCTGTCGAGGAAGTTTCCGAGGAAGCCGCTGAAGCCGCCGCCGCTTCTAAGAAGAACAAGGGTGGCCTGCGCATTACCTCTTCTCCTTACATTGGCATCTACAGTGTCGCGTCCAAGGTTGTTGTCGCTGCAGCCATGACTCTCTACCTTCTTCTCTTTGTTCTTCACTGCACTTGGGTCACGTCCAATGCCTACTCTAGCCCTTCAGTCGTGCTCGCTAGTAAGATGCCCGATGGAAGCCAGCACATCATTGACGACTACCGCGAGGCCTACCAGTGGCTCCGTCAGAACACCAAGGAGGATGCCAAGATCATGTCGTGGTGGGACTATGGCTACCAGATTGGTGGCATGGCAGACCGCCCCACCCTGGTCGACAACAACACCTGGAACAACACTCACATTGCCACCGTCGGCAAGGCCATGAGCTCTCGAGAGGAGGTCAGCTACCCCATCATGCGCCAGCACGAGGTTGACTATGTTTTGGTCGTCTTTGGTGGTCTCCTTGGATACTCTGGAGATGACATTAACAAGTTCCTCTGGATGGTCCGAATTGCCGAGGGCATTTGGCCCGATGAGGTAAAGGAGAGAGACTTCTTCACCCAGCGTGGCGAGTACCGCGTTGACGAGGGAGCCACTGACACCATGAAGAACAGCTTGATGTAAGATGCCCAGCTCCACCCACGATGCAATCAATTACTAACAATTACCCAGGTACAAGATGTCCTACTACAACTACAACAGCCTGTTCCCCCCCGGACAGGCTGCTGACCGTGTACGTGGTGTCAGACTCCCTGATCAGGGCCCAGTTCTCAACTCGGTTGAGGAGGCCTTTACCAGTGAGAACTGGATCATCCGTATCTACAAGGTCAAGGACCTTGACAATGTTGGTCGTGACCACGGTGCTGCTGCAGCATTTGAGCGCGGACACAAGAAGAAGAAGGCCACCAAGAAGCGCGGTCCCAGAGTTCTGAGAGTTGATTAGATGCGTCACCCATGTTTGATAGACGACCTATAGTTGCCAGCTGTTGAGGCATTTCACGGGGTCCCAAAATTTGGCCGGAAAAGATCGGCCCGGCAGGCATCGTTTGTGTACAAAAGCTTTGTGAAATAAAAAAAGTTAAGCCAAGCTGATATTGCATTAAATGTGACTTGTATTAAACGTGACTCGTCCATTCTACGCGGATGATTCGGACGAAAACCCGCCATCTTTGTCTTGCGATGACCAAGTATCTCTTGATGAACTTGATGGATCAATAAGGTCCGAATGAGCAACAGTGACGTTCTAGAGAAACTGAACAAATGTGAAAGCAGTAGAGTCGTTGCGTTTGTGTCGAGGAATAGAGAGTCTCTAGTTGCTGCACATTGCTCTAGGCAACAGATCAATGGATTACAGATAGTAACTGTGGCATATGTTTTGAATTCTTCGAGCTCGAGGTGGTGGGGGACAATGATAAAGAGGCATCGCCAGTGTTGCAAACGGGAATTTTTTTTTTCTTGGTGCAATACGAAACAGTGCACATAACACACCAACACATTTCGTCTTCTTTGGGCCAACCTAGAATTTTGGACGCCATCTCTAATTCTGATGCCCCTTTCTTTTCAACCCTCATCATCATTGCATTGTTCCTCTGCCGTTTGTTGCATCTCCACATTCATTTCATCAATTCGTGGCATCTGCTCGATTGTTCCTTGCAACCTCTGGCCTCATTTACACATTGTCCTCGGTTCGTTTGCTTTGTTCCGAACAGCGAGATATTCACACCACAGCGCATTTTCTTCATCTGCAGAACGGCTTTTGTTGCATTGATTCCATCGTCTTGCGCAGTCCGTACATGCTCGAAGGCGTTGTGAAAGATTGAGTCTGCTCCACGGCCATGTGGAGGTCGAAAGGCGCCCATCGAGGCAGCAAGTAAGTCTAATCTCCATCATCAGCGATCCCGGATCAACATATTTGCCATGAGAAAGTGGCTTTTTATCCCCCGTGGCCTGTGCAATATCCTGATCGCTCCTTCTGTGAGACTGCGGTACCACTTTTTGCCCCCGATCACAGAATTACCAACAAGCTTCACACCTCTTAATCTTCTCTGAATCTGAGGCTGCCCACCTACTTTTTTATATCTACCCAGGCGCCAGAATGATTGAAATTACGCTAACATTCAATAGGAGCAATGGCTCAAGTTTGTACCAGCATCTTCCAGATGACGACAAGGTCTATCTCCCAGATAGCAATGTCTACGTCACAACGACAAGCTCTGGCAGGCCTGCCATTGCAAGAAAGAAGAACAGCGATCGCGATTTCGATTTCCTGAGCGAGGCTTTTGGTATTCCCACCCGGGCCAGCTTTCAGCGTGGTCGCCGTCAAAGCAGCCCCCTTCAGCAGCCAAGGTCAAAGTCAGCTTACAGCACACCCACACCACGGGTCATTGAACTTCCTTCCGACTACGAAGAGTCACCCGAGAGGAATAAAGTAGAGAGGTCTCCAGGCCAAGGCTCTTCAAGATCATCCTCTCGATCAAACTCGACGCTCAAGAGTATCTTACGTACGCCCAACTCTGCTGCCGTTGGGGCCGAGTCAGGAAAACTCAGAGACTGTTCTCCAAGCTCGAGTCGACTGTCTTTGGGGTCGAAGCGACGCAGCCATACGTTTTCCTATCCACCAGAGCCCGAGAGGACACGATTCGCAGAGTATGAGGACGAGCCTGACGAGAATGACTCCATTGCAGATTCAACTGTTCCCTTGGTCCATCCCAATGGCTCGAGCTATTCGCCACAGGCTGCTTCACAGTTCCACCCGAGTTTCACAACACTGCCGAATGGCTTTCAGCAACTGCCCAACCAGACTTCTCCAATGATATGGCACAATACTGGAACTGGTCGTGCGCCCGTGGCCGCTGCTACTGCCGCTACCAGCAATCTAGCCAGGAACCTCAATCCTCGACAAACACAAAACTTTGGCATACAGATGCCATATACGCACGCCATGGGTTTTCAACAGCCAGGCAACATGCTTCAGATGCCTCACGCACCGCAGGTACTCATGTCAACCTTTGCTCAGCCCCAGCCAAGCTTTGTTCCTCCGCCGCCTCCGCCGCCGCCTTTCGTCTCTCATCCTGATGATCTTGTATCTTTGGCTCAGCCTTCTTCCCTAGTGGGCTCGGATGAAGAGCGATTTCGACAGCACTTTGAAACAAATGTCAAATCCCAGCTCCCAAAGTACAAAGTGACTCCGAGTAGAAACCGGACTCCAAAGAACAGAAATGATGAGAACAAGGATAAAGATGTCGAGAGCGCGAAAAAGAAGAAAGAGGTGGTCAAGGATCCAATGGATCAGACGCCTCCTTCTACGCCCATCATGCATATGCACATATGCGCAGGCTGTGGAAAGACGAGATCCAAGGGTTATCACATGACTCACCCGCTGAAGAAGGGCGAGGCACCAGAGCCGGACTACTGCCGTCGTTGCATCATGACGGCCGATTACACCGATTCTGAGATGACAGACACTGGCATGGGTAGTGATTTTCTTATGGTAGGTACACATCACTCCTGTTTTAATAAACAATGCTAATACGAGTCCAACAGACACCCGCGTTACCTGCTGACAGAAAATACCGAGATCATGATTCCCCAACAAGCACCATCATTTCCAACAAGAAGGGTTCCTCGAGAAAAGATGTCCAGAAGGACCGCAGGAAGCGAGGTAGCCTCCTACAGAGTGTATCATCAATCATTTCCAATAAACGCCAAAGCAGAAGAGCAAATTCCCTTTCGACGCCGGAGGAGGGAAGTGACCGAGCGTCATCTCCAACTGGAGAGCCTAGAGTGCGTCGTGCATCCTCGCGATCATTCAAGATGCATTCAACAAGAGGCTCTCATACCCAGTCACCTCTTGGCAAGCTTATTGAGCAACAGTCCAAGACATCTATTGAGTCTGTTGCTCTTGAACCACGCGGCACACAAAAGTGTGGCTCTCGTCAGAGCACACGAGATGAACCAGCCAAGACAAACGACAGAGTCGTGTCGGATATCCGTTCAGAGGCAGCCAACCAGTCAAAGGTCTCATGCCGCTCTGGCGCGACCCGATCGGATGTGCAGAACTTTTCCTACAAGCCATCCCGCAAGTCCTCTCGCAAGACAAGTCCACTCTTGCCACCTTCTAGTTCTCGAGACACTCTCCCGAAATCGCAATCAAGTTCTTCATACCAGCAACCAGTAGCCCACAATGAAGCTTCCGAGCTTGGAAGAAGCAGTGAGAGAGTTTCTGTCCGACAGAAAGGAACAGACAGCAGTCAAGCCACTTCTCGTAGACAAGAGCGTAGACCAGCTTCGCGCCTTGATCATACGGTATCCAATATCACAGGCTCTGGATGGACACAGAGCCATGACCAGCTTGGCGGTTTCCATGTCATTGAGGATGATGGACTATCGCAATCCCGAGCTATCTTTGATCAAGCCCCCAACTTTGAAACGCCAGAAAGCACGCAGAATCTTCATAATTGGCCTGGCTCTCATGCTGCCGATAGTCGCGCCAGTAGTGAAAATTGCGCGTCACGAAGCAAAGGTTCTCCCAAGCGGTCCGACGATGGACCCAATGCATCCACATCTAATAGCAATGAACCGGCACAGGATTTCAATGCTGTCTTTGGTCATGCATCGAATGGAGAGAACCCCTTTGTCTTGGCAGATTTGAAACCAGACAGCGGTAGAAGCAGTATGCAGCCACACCAATCTGAGCCAAGATCGATCGGATTGCCCGTGCATAGCGACATGGCAGACCCCAGCTACTCCAAGCCAAAGTCCGATGATGCTTACAATATGGAACTGCCCAAGTCAAGTGGAACGCCATACAGTAGTCACCCATCTACCACTTCTACCCGGAAATCCCGAAACAAGAGCAAGCCGGAGGTGGCTACGCTTCGTGACAATCCAGTCGAGCAAGGCAATCTCCATGATAATGGCTTTCCACCAGGAGCACCCCTCTGGGAGATACCGTCTGGCAACGCCTTTTGTTCATAGGATGAACGAGGTGCTGATTCGGAACCTGAACTGTCACCCAACCAGGATCGATTTGACGACATGCCTTCAACGCCTGCTGATGCCGAATGGGATGGAATTGATGCCAACCCACAAGTCAGGCGCAATTCTTGGGGATACGACCAAGGTCACTTTGAGCGACAGGCCGAACAAATGGCAGAGCAGATGGTTGAAGATGAGCTCTTGCGCGCCGGTAAGCACTCTGGTCTTTTCGGTTTGGGTCTAGGTTTTGGTTCTTTCAATGACTCTGCAACATCAACATACCCTACCATGCCCAGTTATTTCAGCCATCTGACTACAAGTCGCATCTCCATAGAATCGTGTGGTTCGGACGAGGACCGCAATGACGGAAACGCGCATTACCAGCTCTCGAATGAGTCGGAACTTGAAGGATCAGACACGGTTGAAGAGAAAGATGTCAAACAGATTGGTTAGTACATTCAACCATACAGTTACACGTGTAGCAGGAGTGCTAATGAGTGAACCAGAGTTTTCAGGCCATCAAAGTCGATCAAACTCTCGCCAAGAGCCGCACCAGGGCGGACTAGAAAGCTCTCGAGATCGTCTCAGTCCATTGAATCACACGAGTTCATATACCCACAGCAACAAGAGCAATACTTCAGCTAGAAGGCGGCTCAGCGAGCAAGGCGGCCGTGGCCAGGAGCCCTTGTCGAATAAATCATCATTCGACTACGCCCCTCCGTCCGAGGGGTCTTCAGTCATTGCTCATACAGGGCATTCTCACGAAAACTTTGCAGGATTAGGTAACACATACGGAAGCACCTCGAACGAATCACACGCAGGGACTCCTCGTCGTCGTATTCGCCGTTTCGGATTGTCGTGATTCCATCACGTTTACGTTACAAGATGGACTGTATCATGCTTAGCGTTGGCATTGTTGTGCCCCAACTTGGCCTTTTCTTCGACGGTCTGCTGGGCTGTCTCGAGACATTCCACAACTGGAAGAATCATACGAGTGCGCTTCAAACTTTCACCCAAGTTGACTAGTAGGAATACATACAAAACATGACGCTCTGCGAATGCGCATTTGCCCTTTCCCAAGAACTTGCAACGTCCCATGGAACAGTAGAGAAACCAGATAGAGGAAGGGAAAGTAGTGGATAAAGGAAGGGAGGGGGGAAGGCACAAGGAGGACACATAGGAGACAAGAGTTGGAATATTTGATACAAGCCAATGGCTTGCACTGAGGGTGACGGATGGTAGCTGAGCACAGCAGTATAGTATGTAGTAATGCAATGCTTTGAGAGTCTAGGCGATTGGCCTCGATCACGGCATGAATGGGTCAATACATTCTGGTCTCTTGAAGTGAGTATAATGACCGACCATTTTTCTGTGAAAATGGATATTATTACACGCCATAACAATAGTTAAAAAGAAACGAGCTCGAATATTGAGAGCAAACAAACCCCATGCTTTCTCTTTGGGGTTTACAAATAATAATATTTAACAATCAGTTAGCTCTATGGAATAGGCGGGCATAAAATAAAAAGACACACAAAAGGCAAAAAGAAAAGATATGTCGCTTCTGTGGATCGAACACAGTGCCTCCAGATATCAAGGTCCTGAAGTTTGGGGCTTCAGTCTGGCGCTCTCCCAAGTGAGCTAAAGCGACAGTGGGAGATTATATGTGTCACTGTCTACTGTTTGTCAGAAGACCACGTGATTGGTTGTTGTTGAGAAAACGGGATACAATTAACAATTATGTTGATGGGCGACGACAAGTCTTGTTTGGAGGCATATTGTGGATATTCGACTTTGGCACTATTGCGCAGAATTTTTGCTTCAAGGTGCGTGGGGCGGATGGGGACGGGAGTATACTAAAAGGTTTATGGCTCCCTTGCCGAATGCGATGGACTGGTACGCTGTATAACATGTACTATGCTTGGGTATTACAAGCCGAGTGTGTAACCAAACGTTATAGCAATTTCTTGACATTATTTGTGCATGTGTATTTTATTTTCAATTTCGCTCATCATTACGTTAAATACTTTCATTGCAGCCCAAGGTCCCTACCCAAAAATGGCTGCTTTCTCAAATACACACTAGTAAACTCCCTTGACTTTTTCTCTCTCGATCCCTTCATGTCAATTCTAAACCTTTATTGACATGAATGCCAAATCATCCAAGTGCATCTTTAGTGACGCCCAAAGATGCCTTTCAGCCAGTCCCAGAAAGTGCCTAGAAATCCTGCAGTTAGCTTTTTGTTAGTCATGATGCACTTTTACGTGTACAGATCATGAAAAAAAAAAGATAGTGAAATGTCACGAATGAGAGTGCTAATCGGGCAAGACAATAGGATTCTGACGAGGAACATCAGACGAACAAGGGGACTAACCTGAGGACGAAGAGTTGTTATTCGTGCTAGTAGTGGTAGGAGCGGAAGCAGTGGTAGTAGTGCTAGAGGCTCTGGCAGTGGTGGTTGTAGGGCTCACGAGAGTACTGCTGCTTGCAGCACGGGTAGTGGTTGTGAGGACGCTGCTCAGCGTCGAGGCAACGGCAGAAGTGGCAGTGCTACTGGTCTTGGCAGAAGACGTTGCGCTGGCAGTGGAACTTACTCTGCTCGAAATGACGCTGGTGCTCGAGTCGACGCGGTACCAGTTCTCGACCGGGTCGCCGAGACACTCGCCCACCGTCAGGGCCGTGTAGTTGAGCGACTGTATCTCCTTGAGCATGTACTCGGTCAGGTTGTAGACGGTCTGGTAGTGAATGTCGTGCCCAATGGCCAGGGCATCAAAGTCCGAGGCGACATGGCCGTCAAAGAACTGATCGACAATGTCCTTGGACGTTTGGATCAGATCGGGGCTGTCGTGCAGGTAGTCTTGAGTGTCGAGGTCAAAGTAGACGACGTGGTAGCCCAGGTCGGCCAGGTCGGACTCGCAGCCACTCTCGGCCGTGCAGGAAGAGTATGGCGGTCGCATGTATGTTGGGATGAAGCCGAGAATGTTGCGGAGGGCCATTTCGTTCTTGATCATTTCGTTCTTGCGCTGAAGCGAGGTGATGTTGCTGAGATCGGCGTGAGACCAGGTGTGGGAGGCGATTTGGTGTCCATCAGCGTGCTGGCGCTGGATCACGGCGGGCCAGGCAAGACTGGCGTTGTCAATCTCTCCCTTGCCATTGTTGTTGCCAGTGATGAAAAAGGTGGCCTTGGCGTTGTACTTGGCCAGGAGATCGAGAAGGTCGCTGGTGTAGCCACTCGGGCCGTCATCGTAGGTGATGGCCACGGTACCCGCAGTCTCGCAACTATAGATGCCAGCACCGCCATATGCTATACTGCCGAGCTTGGATCGCGTCAAGGTCGAAGTGTTGGTTCCCGAAGGAATCTTGTTGGCATCGCAGGCCGGTCCATAGTTGAATAAACAATCAGGAGCCTTGCAGTGGTCAACCGTTGTGCCACAATACCTGGAAACCATCAGTCGTTGTTCTTGTTGTCAAAATCTAGGCCATGTCCTACCCTTCAGCAGAGCAGCACTCGGTTGAAGCGCACACGGCATTGTTGAAACTGGGACCACATCGGTCTTCTCCAGTGTCGCCGGAACCATCATCATCAATGCAAGCGTCGCCAAAAGCTGCTTGGCAGCCGTTACTAGAACTACAATAGTCGGTAGTGTTGCCGCAATAGCCACTGCCTCTTGGTTAGTGTATCGTAAATAGATGGTGTTCCTTGGACAACTCACTATTGCGAGCAGCACTAAAACATGTAGTCAGTATATACCATTCGTCGATATAGTTATCAAATATCAACCTACCATGCCAGTCTCGCAAGTATATCCAGCTGTGCCAGCCCCTGTACTTCCACAAGTCATGTCAGGAGAGACTTCACGCAGCATTATAGGTAGTGAGGAAGCAGAGGCAACCGCAAGGTTGCTTGCCATGGTAAAAGACATTAAAGTAAGACCACGCATGGTGAATATAGAGTATCAAGCGAGCGAGTGTGTGTAGCAAGGAGGGTATGATACAGCCAAATGCACGTCAAGGCTTGTTGGAATGACAGAGAGAGTGGCACCTTTTGCATCGAGGCATCAATGGGTGTTTATAGATTCCCGAGGCCGTGGTAGCGAACTGACCGCGACAAGGATGCATGGACATATTTGGACGATGCACAATGACAAGACGTGATGGCCCTCCTAGTGAGTCTTGATCTATATTCGAGGGGCACTGTGGAATACTGTTGAGCACTGATGGAGTCTAACAATTCGGGTAAGGTTACCGAAGCCCTACCGTCGAGGTATGCCATCATTGGGACAATAGACGGCTCGAGAGTCTCTTCTCCCATTGGCCGTTGAGCAATATCGGAAAGTCTAGAGTTCTCGTCCCTTGCAGATAATCCTAGTTCCGGTGTATATAACAGACGGAGGATGAGTCGAAACAATGGTTAGTTGAAGAATACGAAGACGACCCACAGTATCTCTTGGGCTCAGATGTTGCCGGTCGACTTTAACTAGATAGTTAGCAGCTAGGTCACTTTTCTGGGGGGGGGGGAACGATGGGGTGGTCTGGAGCCAGTGCGGCAGTCGAAGAGACGGTAGAACACTCGGATGTGCAAGAGTTCAGGTTGCGGCGACCGCCTTTGCCAGCCATGGGCAAGAATCCCAAACGCTGGTCGACGGTGGTGCGAATTGGCGATCAGCGTAGAAAAGCAAGTGAACGGTTGCATCTACACTAGGTTGGCGGTCCCCTTGTCCTGGCCCATCTGCAGGCATTTGCATAGATCAGACGAGTAAAGAAAAAGCATTGGACGAATGAGCTTGTGGCGGACTCGTAACGTCGAGCCAATTTGCGCTGCTCTGCGTTGTACATGTGCGTCTTGTCGTGCAGATTATATTGACTGGCGAATACGACTTTCGACATGATGCTGGAGAAGCAATGTCACGGTTGAGCGGGTGATGCAAGGCTGGGGCGTCATGGAATGAGCATCGTCACTATTCCCTGCTCAAGGCCTCGTGAGTCTCTTCAGCTAATATCGGGCAGCCGCATCTCTACGCATCTTTCTGATGTCGGCCGACGAAAACTGCATCTCGGTCCTCGGATATAATCTGCAGCCACTTGGATGGTGAAGACGGTTTGCGTGTGGATCATGGGCCATGTGGGATATGCGTGGCTCGATATTCTTCTTTTTAATGTGACAAGCCATGTACAATCACGGTCGTGGCGCTCAAGTTGGACGTTTGGCTTGCGTAGAAGAAAAGCAAACATGGTTTGATCGGAGCTGACATTTCATGTTATTTCCTGGCTGATGATGGAGGTGTGTCCGAGCGAGTTGGCACGGTGCTGTGCTCAAATATGACAAAAGTCGAGGATGATGATGAGAATGTACAGACTAGCATACCAAGAGTCTAGAGGCTCAAAAGACCTTCTGGTACGTAGAGTTTCGATTCGAGATTCGGGAGATCTACCACAAGGAAGCGCTGCGCACTGGTCGCGGCGTGACATGACACCCAGACCTCTTCTTCCATGGGCCTAGAGTTCTTTCAAGTCTCAGGTGAGACGCGTGGTGAATTGGAAGACCCAATTTTCCATGTTTGATGCTAATGGAAGGGACAAGGAGAAGCAAAGGCGACGCTCAGTGCCTGGCTATGGAGTCGCCAAGGGACTAGTTAGGGGAGCTCGGGGAGCTGTATTTCGCAACCAGTCCCTGAATAATAAAATGAGGCGTCTGGTCGCCCACGGGAACTTTGAGATGTAGATGAGCTCCCAAACGACTGAACAATACAACTTTTAACAATACGCCATACGCGACATGTATGAAAGAATATCAAAAACATGTCTATCCCGTTCGGAACGAGCCCTCAACTGCGGTCGATAGCTGCTCTAATTATAGCGAATCGATCGGATTGTCGGGCTTAGCTGACGGGGAACAGCTGGGGCTGAGGATAATGGCCCGCCAGGGGTCCAGTCCAGTGAGCTCAAAGCCTAACAAGCCTGCGATATCTATGTCGTCGCGCAGGAGAGAATGCAACACTGAAGCCTTGCCATCATTTATTCTGGACATGTGGTCTACAATTCTCCAAAGCTCTTTTTCTACCTTACTCTCGAAAGACGTCCGTAGCCAATGTTGCAACATCCATCCATCTACCGTGGCGATTCGCATTTGTCTTGCGCGACCATTGGCATTGCCCCTGTGCTGACGCCTGCTTTGGGGAAGGCATTACCTATTTCAGTCGCAGAGGCATTCATTGCACACATCAATTCTCTACGGTACCGACCTAGGTTTGGGTTGCAAATAAGACTGTCGGCACCGTCTGACTTGTTGGTTTAGGTGGATACGTATTCCAAAGTCTGCGATTCTAATACAACCTATCTGGACCGAGGTATGACAAGTTCTGCGGCTCGTTGGTCACCATAGGCATTGCTGCCCTCTTCATCGTCGTCGTCGTTGTGGCTCACGGGGTAGGCCAATTCCAATGCTTATAGTGTACTGACCCCTGTGCCATGCACAAGTGCCGGCACCGCCTTTGCCGTCGCCGCCGCCGCCGCCGTCTCCAACGCAGCCGAACCGCCGAATCGCCAACACCTCTTGTGCCCGAGTGTAGTAAGTAATCAAAGTCAAAGTAGCAAATGTGTCTATACGGTAGGTGCATTCAGAGGGTTTGGTCAGCAAGGTACACACGGTACGTGTCAAATTAACCTTTTTTTCTCTCCTCCTCTTCCATTTTAAATGGCGGCCGCACGGAGAAGGGACACAGCCACGTTCACAGACGCCTGACTTGCCAAGATGGTACGGCGCCTCTGTCAATCTTTATTCTCACGGCACAGTTTGAGCCACTAGGAGCGCAGGCTACAGTGGTCCCCTAGCCTGGGCATACGTCGGCTAAGAAGCCAAGCACGAGGACCTTTACCCAATTTGACCTCCCGTTTGTTTTAGTTCAAGGCGCAGCCAACAGCTTTGTGCTTTGTTCTGCCATGTCCCGGTGGCCGGCTACTTGTCAGCGACTCAGCAGCGTGTCCACGGATGGGTGTCCCCTTTTTTCCCTCTGTCTGGGGGAGGATCCCTCTTTATATGCAAAAGGAGTGTTTCAATTCAATGGGAGGAGCAGCATATGCACCTGGCTGATGGATGGATGGGGGGTCCAAATCATCTCGTACCCTGTAGCTCATCTATGTAGATTGATGAAAGATCCAATTCCTTACCTACTGTGGCTCCATTCTTCATTGAACCTCTTTTTTTTTTCCTCGTCGTCGTCCCTTTAGGCACTCGCAGCATTCCATTCCCTTGTCGCAGTGCATAAACGCGCATTAAGAAAGAATTCCTTGACCGTCCCATACATTCAGCAGTAGCAGGAGTACTCACTGCCGAGACTACTAGTCTGGGGGCGCATTTTTTTTTCTTGTTGATCTTGGGTCTTGTCCCTTCTACTCTCTTCGTATCAAATTCCTCTACTACTGCACAGCCTGCATATCTGCCTGCTTCTTGGTATTATTAAGTTGCGCTGGCGCCGGAATCTCGGGGGTTCAATTTGCCAGTCTATCGATTTATTGGAGAAATCAAAGCGATTGATTTTGATTTGATTCCATCCCTGGGGGAACCAACAAAAAAAGGTGTCAAGAGATTGGTTGTGAGACTGCCCCGAGCGCCATCCATCCAGTGGGCGCTCACTCTAAAACATTTATTGAAATGCGAGAGGACATCCGCAATCCTCTCCACGTCTTTTCCCCTTCCAGTTACCAACCCTATCGCAAAATGACCGACTACGACACGCCGTCTACGGCGCCCAAACCTCGAAAACGCGGCTTTGCTTTCGTCCTTCTCGCCTCGTATGTGACGGACTGGCTCTGCTTGATAGCCGCCGGCGTGGTGGGGACCATCCTGGGCAATGTCACGCCCAATAAGCGCCCTTTTCGCCTCGATGACCCCAACATTGGGTACGTTTCTCTCTCAATAATCTGTCGCGTTCCGGGTTCCTCTCAGTATTGATCAAATTTGCAGATTCGCCTTTACTGAGCACGAGACTGTATCGTCCGCGCTGCTGCTCACGTGCAATGCCGCTATTCCCATTGCCATCATCTTGATCGTGACCTTGATCTTTGTGCCGGGACCTACCGTCCCCAAGGGAACCCCTCAGTCCCTCATCTGGAAGCGCAAGCTCTGGGAGCTGCATGCAGGATGGCTGGGACTGGCCATGTCTCTATGCGGCGCCTGGTTCATCACCAGTGGCATGAAGAACATGTTTGGCAAACCGCGCCCGGATCTGCTTTCGAGATGTCAACCCGACTATGAAAATGTCGCCAAATACTATGTGCTCAACAATGGTGGCCACGGTAATCTTAGTGGGCTCGTCTCTGCAGCCATCTGCCAGAATACAGACTCTAGTCTACTCGACGACGGATTCCGGAGTTATCCTTCTGGCCACTCCTCCTCGGCTGCTGCTGGTCTCATCTATCTATCCTTTTTCCTCGCCAGCAAGTTCTCCGTCGTCATTCCCTTTGTGGCGACCTCGGGATATTCGGCCGAGTCGAGTGCGGTTGCCTTTCCGTCACGACACAATGGCGGAGCCGCTGGAGCCAACTCTTCTTACAATCCCCTGTCGCACGCCACAGACGAGCTTTCGAGTCCTGGCGATCCTTCCGTGGCCAAGCAGATTGCATCGCACGGTTCCTCTGTTCTAGCAGTCAGAAGACAAGCGGCAGCACCTCCAATCTACCTCCTCGTGCTGACTCTGATCCCTTTCTTCCTGGCCATTTTCATTGCCAGTTCCCGATGGTACGACTTTAGACACCATGGCTTCGATATTCTCTTTGGATTCATCATTGGTATCATTACGGCTTGGTTTTCATTCCGCTACTACCATTTACCGATTTCTTCAGGCGCTGGTTGGGCATGGGCACCTCGCAGCCCCGATAAGTCGTTCTGGGCCGGAGTGGGAGTGTACTCGTGGGCGACGGACAAGAAGCACTGGATTCGACCGGGTGATGAGGAGGAAGGGCTTGCAGCAAGTTACGCCAATGATATTGAGCTTCGCGGCATGCGGTATAGACAGAGACCCGAAGGCGGCCTGAACACGACTGAGAGCTCCACAGCAATCACCAAGGACAGGAATCAGCTGAGTCCCACGGACGACTTTAGCACTCGCGACGACCGTGCGTCAACGTCGCATGATGATCACAACAGGATCTAAGTTTTTGTTTTACTGTACAAGATGGGGAGGGCGGATGAAAATTCCCAAGACGCAAAATGATTTTGACATCCATGCATTTACCGGGTCGTTTAAAAATGGCAAATGGGACGACAGATATGATTGAAAGTTGCATCAGATGGCGTTTGGGGGACTTGTTTACACCGTCAAGCTGTATTATATCTCGGTTCTTGTCTCAAAGCCTTTTGGGCTTGGCTTTCAGCAGTCGGTGCTGTGGGTACAAAATTCAGTTATACTTGGTGGTCTATATTAATCAATATTGCCGTTGATAAATTCGTTGAGTCTGCGGAAACAATTGTCGATAGGATCAGCAGTTGAAAGGGCTGGGTCTGTGTCAAAATCAAAGAAGTCTCCTCTCCGGATCGACCGAAGTTGGAATTCAATAGGCGGCAGCAAATCGAAAGTGCTATCCGCTATATCGAGCCTCTATCGTCAACCATTCACCTGTTCCTGTTGTCGACATCCAGTCTCTGCCTCTCGCGGATGCCCCCCCCCCCCCCCCGGGGACCCACAAGCCCCCCCGTCTGATGTGAAGCCTGAATGGCCGGCGTTCTATGATGACGATATGGAACCTATTATACCGGAAGGATATTAGGACGACTGTGTTGTCGTCGACCTACAAGCCTTTCCGTCTGCTCCTGTCGTTGACGCTTCGCCTGCTCCTGTTGTCGACAACCATCATCTGCTTTACGCGGATGGAGCTCCACCGCACCCACAAGCCTCTCCGTCTGACGAGGAGTTTCAATGGCCGGCGTGGGTTTTTTACAATATGGAACCTGTTGTGGCGTACCAGAATGCTGTAACCTTCGTGTCGTACTGACGTAGTCAGTACCCACCGCAGATCACCTGCTTGGGTATATAGTCGCTCTTCAGCACCTCTCTTTTGTAGACTAGAGATCAACTCAAACAACTTTCAATGCTTCCTCGATCATCTCGTCTTCAGTTCCCCCTTCACACATCGGCTCAGGTGAGACTTCGACAACTTTGTTGTTGTCGTCGACCCACGAGACCCTGCGTCTGATACGGAGCCCGAATTGCCATTCTTTTGGTATTACGATATGACACCTATTCTGGAGCTCCAGCGTGAAGGCGCCTTCGGCGACGCTGAGATCGTCGACCTGCCAGCCTCTATGTATCCTCCTGACTTCAACCATGTCGTTGACGACTCACCTGATCCTGTCGTCGACGCTTCACCTGTCCCTGTGCATAATGCAGAGCTCGCCGACGCCATTGCAGCTCGTGAAAGGGCAGAAAGACGTTATGGTGAAATGTTGGCACGGTTTACGTCTCAGGTTCAAGAAACTTGGAGCCTGATGCGTGAAGCCCGGGGGGGCCACGGCCAGCCACTCACGTGGCTAGCTCGTGCCCCACCCAGCTTGCAGTCAAGCCACACATAAGTAGTCCTCCCGTAAGGAGGACTTGATTAATACATCCTTCTTTACACCACTAAACAGACCCCATAGGACACCATACCAGAGCCATCGGAATAGGAAACGGGCTGAGAGGCGAATTGCTTAGTATAAAAGGGAAAGAGATAAGGCTAGGGCACACGAGCAACGGGTTCGTGATAGTATATGAATGTGGTTTGGGTTTGCATAATCCAATTGTGATTATAAGAGAATAAGAGAAAAAGAGAAAAAGAGAAAAAGAGAAAAAGAGAAAAAGAGAAAAATAGATTAAATCTCGGGATATTTCACTATGTTTAGTCCAGCATCCCTGATTTCCATGGAATCCAGCATGCCATACCGCCCAAACCAACTCAAGAGCCATACTGCTGATGAAAATCTGCCACGAAAGATGGCCGGCCCAGGATTCACCCCAAGCAAGTCCCCAACAACCTTCTTTGCATAATCATCAGGCTCCATGGCGTAGCTAGACCCCGCCGACTGTTTGCTCTCAATGTCGCCAGCCAGCGCCGAGTACAGGCTACCCTCTGGAACCCGCCACGGCTTATTCCCTTGCTTAAAGTTGGTGGCTACTGCCCCCGATACAATGGTGACGACCCGGATGCCCAGCGGCGCAAGCTCCTTGCGCATGACTCCGCTCATGGCCGCGACGGCCGCCTTGCTGGCTGCGTATATGCCCTGGAACACGGGCTCGGCCTGCGCCGAGATGCTGCCAACATTGGCAACGAGGGGTCGTCCTCCGACTGCCGCGGTAGCTGTCAGCAGAGGCAGAAATGCCTGAGTTACGGCCAGCATGCCAAAGACGTTGACGTTGAACACTATGGATATACTATATTTAGTAAAGATCTTTTCTCCATTGAGAAATTGGGTTAAAGTTAAGTGGAGACTCATGGATGATACGTAGGATCAACAAGTCTCATGGGATTACTGAGAGTAGTGGACCCCTGATGAGAATAACCATGAAAGATTCCTTATCCTTATTTCCAGTACAAGTGTGAGAAACCAAAAAGAAAATTGCGGAGCAACGTACTAGCCCTAGCATCATCCAAGTCTTGATCGGCCAGAGGCATGAGGTTAAACACGGCGGCATTATTCACAAGGATATCCAGTCTACCACCCGTGGCCGAGCGAACAGCGTCCACAGCGGCGGTAATCTGGGCCGGCTGCAAGACGTCCATGGCGAGCGTGTCCATGCCGAGATCTGCCAGGCTCTGCATCTTGTCGAGGCTTCGCGCCGCTGCGAATACGCGACAGCCACGGATATGAAAGTGCCGAGCCAGAGCGGCTCCTGCCGAACCGTCGGTGCAGCCTGTGACTAGGACGATATGCTTATTGTGTTGCATGGTTTTTGTGTGTGGTTTGTGGATTTATTGATGATCGTCGTGTGGATTTGGTGGATATTATGTGCTGGACAGAAGGTATTCGGCAATTTGGAAAGGGTGAAATGTGTCCCTCCTTTGCTCGTCTCTTTCATCTTTTCTGGCAATTGTAGTTTCTCTAATCTTTCACGCTTTTATAGTTCTTCTCGTGAGGCACAAACTTGTCGGAATTCCGTTGATCTGATCTGGAATGTCGAGTATAGTATGAACACAATCTCGATTTTCCGACTAGCTGTATCTCATTGCTCAGACGCTTCACAACAAGTATGGGACCGGAATTCCGCGGGACTTTATTGGCCCGTTCGGACTCGGTCTTCAACACGACAGGATGGGGCTTATGTAACAAGTCTATACACATTGGGAAGAGATCTTCAGCAGATGTATTCGAGGGCCAAAAGCAAAAGAAAAGAATTTATTCCCTTTTTGCTACATTGCTGCCCAAATATTGATGATTAGCACCCTGCAATGCCAGCAGGTCAGTAGATTGTAACACCAGAGCATTTGGCAATGCCTTCTGAAGACCACCGACTGGAGTATTGAATATTGTGCATTGATATTGCAGCACCAGGGCAAACACGGGTCTACGGCAAGGCGCAGGCTCAGACAACTCGGCAGATGAAGTTGCAAAAAAGTCAAGCCTCGTTGCTCAGACCAATGAGAATTGATTTCTAGTCCTGTCATATTACACCGACAAAAAAGGTAGTGGATCGGCCCATTACCATGGCCGCAGTCGGTCTAAAAGTGCCCGCATCATGTTTCTTGGCTGTACATCTATGCCGTATTCTTATACATTGCGGCTGCGATGATCTTCATGGTATGATCAGGATTAAATCCTACAGAAACCGGCCAAGTACATGATATGACCACGACACCCCATACAAATATTGTTTTTCTGCGCCATTGTAAGCAATTGAAAAACTCATTCTCTTTAGCTTACAAGTTTCCTGCTAACAATCATGTTTAATCACCATCACCAGTCGACGCTGTTGCTTGTTTTAGCCACAGCCAGCGGACTTGTAGTCGGCGACACATATCAGTACGATTCAAGTGTCGGAACCACAATCCCAGATGTCGATGACAATTACACCATTAGCCTTTTTAGAAATGGCCTCGCTCACCCAAATGCGACTCGCTCCGTCGAATTCAACCCCTTTGCGAAAATCTCAGACTTGATCAACACTTCCAGTCCATTATATCAGAACTGGAACCTGCGTGAGCACATGTCTCTGCCGAAATTCTATCACCGACTCTGGTACTGACAAAGCTTTGGGCATAAGAAATCAACATTTCAGACTTTTCAGTCCCCAACGCGGCCAACATTGCCGAGAATGAGACCGACTTTGCGTGGTTCGAGACAACCTTTGTGGACCCTCACATTGTCGACTACTCATACGGCCTATCCTGGCCCGGCGGCGGCAGTCTGGAATCGGCGCTGCCGGAAAACGTCAGCCACATGTGCTTCACCACGCTCGACATGTGGGGCACGCCGGACAACGTGAGCAACCTGCTGAGCCAGCAAGACGCCGACGACAGTACCGACTGCTCCTTTGTGCTGGGCACCGAGTGCGTCAGTGCCATCGAGGACGCCGTCCGCACCGACCCGTGCCGCGGCGTGGAGGAGGCATGGACGAGACTAGACGCATGTGCCGATACCCTTAGCTACGCGGCCGCGCAGGACTATAATAATAAATACGGAACCACTCTCACCCAGGCCCTGTCCAATAATGGCACGCACAGCGGCGATTCCTTCTGGGGCGGCTGGAGCGGTGCTCACAATGGCTCCGACACATCCGCATACGACAGAATCACGACGGGACTGCGGGTCATGACCTTTTCCCCCGTGGTCACAAATGGTAATGTCAACGTTTCCAGGGCGCAGGTGGTTTGTACGAGGATCGACGCGACGCAGGTTGAGGAGCAAGACAACAGCGACAATGACGACGATACCAGTGCGGGCTGGTCAATCAGGGCCAGTTCAGGGATCGCGACGCTGTTTACCTTGGGTTGGGTTGTTGCGGCTGCCTGCGCTGCTTAGGACCTGTCCGAACTCACCAGGGATCATTCTGGGCAACTTTGCCAGCGGCATAACTATGATGATCCGGCCAAGAACAGCCCCAGGCATTAGTTACATCGCGGTATCACCAATTAAACGGAGGCAATATCATGGTTCGAGCATATTCAAGTTCAAAGGCACTTGCCGGCTTTTCAAGCGTGAGGCGCGTGGGACAAGTCCAAGACTATTCAACTTTTGAAGAGCGAATGTTGCTTTCCGGTCTTGAACCAATCCTGCGAGATGATCTTAGCTGACCTGAACTTGTTTGAAGACGGGATAAGGTCATTTTGGAAAAGTATCATGGCTTTACCATAGAGAAACATGTTCCTTGTAAAATGATCAAAGGTGCCTAGTGTCTTGGTAGCGATTGCACGATTTATCTATAACAGAATATATTCAAAGCTGGAAGGCGCGTTTCATCAAGCTGCCCCATGCCAGACTACTAAATTCTCACCAGCAGACCTAGTCTTGTCTTTTTTCTGTTCTTCTCTCTTCAGGTGTCGTATCCTCACTGTATGTTTCCACCAGGTATTGCCAACTTCTTTAATGTCAAAACTAACTGTATTTGTAGTACACAATCCCTTCACCGGCAAGACCATCACCCTCGAGGTTGAGTCCTCTGATACCATCGACAACGTCAAGTCCAAGATCCAAGACAAGGAGAGCATCCCCCGGACCAGCAGCACCTCATCCTCGCCGGAAAGCAACTTGAAGACGGTCGCACTCTCTCCGACTACAACATGCCCCGAAGCAATACAAGGATTTGCTTCGGCTGTGGCGCGGCGGGCCACATCGCCCGGCAGTGCCCGGTGCCGCTCGAGGAGCGCGCGGCCGCCAGAGCCGCCAACGGCGTCGGCCGACTTGGCCGTGGTCTTGGTCGCATGCGTGGCCGCAATTCCGCCAATATAATTATGGCGGTGAACAGATTGGCTGGGGTGCTGCAAGACATCAACAGCAGCAGAAGCAACAACAACAACAACCACCACCACCACCACCACTACCAGCAGCAGCAGCAGCAGCAACAACAACAACAACAACAACAGCAGCAGCAGCAGCAGCAGCAGCAGCAGCAGCAGCAGAAGCAGCAGAAGCAGAAGCAGCAGCAGGAGGAGAAGGAAGAAGAAGAAGAAGAAGAAGAGAAGAAGGAAGAAGAAGAAGAAGTCAAGGAGGAGGAGGAAGAGGAAGAGGAAGAAGCAAAGATCAAGGAGGAGGAAGAAAACTAGAATAATTAGCGCCGCCAATTTCGCTCCCCCCCCCCTTTTTTTTTTTTTAAATAAATATTATTCTACTTGCCCAAGGTCATTTTTAATATGCAATAATGCAAGTGATGATCGAAGGTTGCGTATGGAATAAATGCTGTTCGGTTTCGAAATTTTCTGTCATGATCTGACTGCCACAGTCAATGTCATTTGAGCTTCGATGCAAATGGTAGAATAGTTCATGTCTGAGTAGACTAATTCTTCTCCAGGCTGTACAAGAGTAGAGCTCCCACCTTTTCCTAGTTTGCTGAATGACCGGACGTCATGGCCTTGTTCTCATGTCTCTCGTTCGAGAATGCCATGGCATTGTACCGCTCTTTCCAAAATCTTGGAAACCAATGTTTGTTTATGTAGGTATCTAGGTAGGCACTTTGAATAAGAATCGTCACTTCCTCTTCCAATAACAAAGGCTGAGCCAGCTTATTTTTTTTTTCTCTACTCCCCCCAAGCTTGACGCTCCATTTTCATTCAAATCAAACACAAACACAATCTTCTACAGCTCCAATGCTCCACCTTTTGTTTCTCAAGATCATAGTGTTTTTCACAACATCCAGCCTGACTACACAATGTCATTCCTCTACGTACCTCGACGTGACAAGGTCCGATGCTGGTAAGTATGCGTATATTTGTATAGCCGATCATATCTAATAAGCAAGATAGGAAAAAAAAAAAAGAGAAAAAGAAGGCCAGTCGCAGGTCTGTTACGTCTGCGGCTAGCGAGATCACCTCGTCCGCAATTGTCCGGTCCCAGTCGAGGACCGTGCAACCTCCTGGGTCGCGAACGGTGTCACCCGACGCCGTGGTGGTCGTCGCGCACGCGACACCACCAACAACAACATCATCAACGCGGTGAACAGACTCACGGCTGTTCTTGCCAACGCCAGGGGCGGCGGCGACCGCAACAACAACAAGAAGGGCGGCGGCGGCGGCCGCAACAACAACAAGAAGAAGGGCGGCAGCGGCGACGGCGGCGGTACTGGAGGTGCTGGAGGTGCCGGTGGCAATGGCGGATTCATAACCTGACAACCCACCGCCCCTAGATATGTTTACAGAAGACGATCAGCTTTTTTTTCTCGGCCTGTAAGGGTGGCAAAACGTGAAGGGTTACTAAAAGTATGCTTGGTCACACATTATTTTAGTAGATACACTTATATACCATCTTTAATTTTACTCTTTCCTTTGGATCTTGATTATATCACCTTGGATAACATTAGATATAAATTAGCCCTCTCTCTCTCTC